GTGGTGAAGCAACGGAAAACCATGGCCGTATGGTTTTCCTGATTGATTAATTATGCTGTTGTTATTTTCATATTTTGCCAAATTAATGTAAATGTTTGATGTTAAACTTTGATTCTGTAAATAAATGACCGCATTCATTTTGATGGGTCAAAGATAAATAACGTCTCTCGTTACATTTCTGTTAAATTCAATGCACGCATGTTACACAGTTCAGAAAAATGAAGAACCCGTTTAATGTATGAATATATCTCAGCATCTGTTCATACTACATCATCAACTGTCAGTTGGACTTTCCATAAGAAAATATGTAAAGCATATCAAATTTTAACTGTTATAGTTTTAAAATTATAAAATACATCAAAATGCAACTTCCAACATGTAAAGTTCAATGTTCTGTGAGTTGTTTAAACTTTAAATTATGTTTCTACTGTGATGTATGCCTGAAACACGGAGATCCAAAGAGACCCCGGTTCACTCGTGTTTGGCCAAAATCATATTGACTGTTTCTTTTCTCTAAGTCTTTTACAGATTCCATCTACACTGTGCGATGTAGCAATTCCAAAAGTCATGGCACATTGTATTTTAAAGCTGTGAGATGAGATAGAGGACAAAAAACTTTGAACAGGATAGTGGTAAGAGGGTTTCAGTCCTTAGGTATGAGGTGCCGTGTAGCGCATAATGTATTTTCTCTCTCACACATACTACTATTCTCTCTCTTTCTCTCACACACACTACTATTCTCTCTCACACACACACCAGTATTTTCTCTCACACACACTAATGTTCTCTCACACACAATACTATTCTCTCTCACACACACTAATATTCTCTCTCTTTCTCTCACACACACTACTATTCTCTCTCACACACACATTACTATTCTCTCTCACACACACTACTATTCTCTCTCAAACACACCAGTATTCTCTCTCATACACACTACTATTCTCTCTCACACACTACGATTCTCTCTCACACACACTAGTATTCTCTCTCAAACACACCAGTATTCTCTCGCACACACATTTCTATTCTCTCTCACACACACTACTATTCTCTCTCACACACACTAATATTATCTCTCTTTCTCTCACACACACTACTATTCTCTCTCTCACACACTACTATTCTTTCTTTCTCTCACACACACTACTATTCTCTCTCACCCACACTAATATTCTCTCTCTTTCTCTCACACATACTACTATTCTCTCTCACACACACTACTATTCTCTCTTTCTCTCACACACACTACTATTCTCTCTCACACACACTAATATTCTCTCTCTTTCTTTGTCTCACACACACTACTATTCTCTCTCACACACTCTACTATTTTCTCTCACACTACTACAGACTCGGTCACACACACTCACAAGACCAGAGAGAAGCGATAAATGTGTGTGTGTGTGAAATAATACTATTTTGAATGAGCGGCAATAGATATGTGTGTGTGTGTGTGTGTTTGTGTATGCGTGTGTGTGAAGTAATACTAGTCTGAATGAGAGTCAATAGATGTGTGTGTTTATGTATATGAGTATGTATGTGTGTGTGTGGGAACTAATAAGTCTGAATGAAAGGCAATAGGTGTGTGTGTGTGTGTGGCTGTGTGTGTGTGTATGTGTGTGTGTGAACTCATACTAATCTGAATGAGAGGCAACAGATGTGTGTGAGTATGTGTGTGTGTGTCTTTGTGTGTGAGAGAGGACCAATACTAGTATGTATGCGAAGTCTTGTTTAGTGTGTGTGAGTGCAACATGTCCCGGAAGAGGCAGGGCAAAATTTGAAGATCGGATCGCGCATGCGTGGATCTCCAGGCAGCAGCATTGCAGGAAGTTGTCAGCCGACCACAATGTGCTCCAGAGAAGACACAACATTGGCTAACAGTTCTTTGAGTAAGGAAATAATTGGTCAAGCAGCCGCAATTTAAAATAGTATTTTATCATCAATGGATGCAACAAGTAGTGTGACCTGCGCCTTAAACGAAAGAGCTCCTGTGACCGCCCGCAGCGATTCTGCTGAGACAGAATTAACTTCTAGTTTCGTGCTGGAGCAGCTAGCCGAAATTCGATGGTGTCAACAGGAAATCAAGGTAAAATATTGCTACACAGTAAAGAGTTTGTTTTCTGAATATATATTGTGCATTTTATTAACCCATCTCTCGGGAATCCGTGTACGGTTCAGTCTTTGGTTTTTCCGTTTCAAAATAAAATAGTATGTTCTGTTGATGTAGCGATACAGGTGTTGTGCCGAAAATTGCACCCTGCCGTAAAACGCACCCACGTTCCGGAATTAGTTTCAGAGCACTTATTTCGTAAAAAATTCAAAGTGCTAAATCAACTCCTGGTGTTTATCACTTTCAGAGACAACACAATTAAAACACTGTATTTTGACACAACTGACATTTTTACAGCAACAAAAAATGTCTTTGTCACAAACATGAACATGAGTCTGTGAGCAGATGTGCACGCATGAACACCAACATTGAAACAGATCAGCAGCAACATGAAACAGATCAGCAGCAACATAATATGGTTTTTCACAGTGATAATTCTAGTTAGAGATTCATGAGTCTAACAGCCTCAGGGTAGAAGCTGTTCCTCAGTCTAGTGGTTCTACACTTAATGCTCCTCAACCTCCTTCCTGAGGGGAGTGGGGCAAAAAGTGTGTGTGCTGGGTGAGTGGGGTCCTTCATGATGCAGGTAGCCCTCTTCCTGCATCTAGAGGTGTAGATGTCTGTGATGGTGGGGAGGTTGATTCCAACAGATTTCTGTGCAGCCTTCACCACTCTCTGCAAAGCTTTTCTTTCTGCAGCTGTGCAGCCTCTATGCCACACATTGATGCTCGAGCACAGGATGCTCTCCACTGCACACCTGTAGAAGGAGGTGAGGACTGAGCTTCCCAGACCAGCTCGCCTCAGCC